AAAACCAGCAGTGCTTTTATTTTTCAGAACACAAGTTTGTGTTTACTGATGAACTCCTATGCTACTAGTGTCAATATATTTTACTCACATTTCTCTTGGCAAGTTCCACAAATATTTTCTGTACATCTGTATACCAGCAAAAGATCAGAATCACAGTTGCAGTTGAAGACTGGATCGTAAGCGCCACCCGTCTGGCATCACTCACAATAGTTTCTCTGTGAACAGTCTCAATGAATTCTAAACACACCCTTTTCCCCTTAATCTCTTCCTGAAATACCTGAAATATGGCGGTATAAACAACCACTATGTTATCTTTTATTATATAAGACGGACACAAAGATTTATTCAGCAATTTACAGCATAATAGGAAAACATGCACCTGTATTGCCTTTTGACCATAATCATTGTTCGCAAGCACAGCTCCAATCCAAGTCCAGTTGAGGCGTATGGCCATTTGTGCCATGGTCCGAGCTTGGTAAATATCACTGGGGATTGTTCTGAAGAAGTTAGGAAAGTTGGACCTGTCACTAAGACAGGGGCAGCTAGCCAAGTAGCTGATCTGTGAGCCACACAAATATCAGTTTTTTACAACTTACAAAATATATTAGCTCTTCAAAGATGACTATACAATATTATCATCAGTCATTGTTCCCATTATAAAAACTTACAACTGGTACAGAGAGAGGCCCTAGGATCCTAGAGAGTATCACTCCTGTTGTAGATGCGTGACCTCCAATGAGTAAAGGAACAGGCTGAACACCTGATGATTGGATAAATAAATAAATAAATAAATAAAAGCAGCATCTTTACACAGTCATAGGATCATATTATTTGTTGTTTGACATGAACTTTTCAAATTTTAACTTCATGACATTTGAAATCAAACCTGCTGTCTCTCCGGGTTGTTCATAAGCTTCAGAATAAAGTGTAGAGGCTGTTAAATTGCAGCTGTGTCTGTCTCCTCCAACCAGTGAGAGAGCACTTTGCAGAGCCCAGGGGTATCGGCCGCAGCTATCAAGTATATGATAACCTAGTTTTATTCCTGGTAGCAGAGCGCTGTTTTGATTTATTTCCTCCACGGCAAATGCCATAGCATACATATATTTTAGTGCTTGTAAATCTAAACTGTGACCACAGGAGGAAAAAAATCATAGTGAATTAAACAACCTGTGAAAGGCAAGGTTACAGGATATGCTTTTATAATATGAAATAATACATATTGCAGCAAACAAACAAACATGTTTTGAGTAAGTTTTACCTTCTACAAGGTTCATAATGTGGCAGTCTGGTGTAGTCCTGTTCTACAGCTGAAGGTATGTAATGCAAACTAAAGAGTCCACCGATAATCACATCTCCATCCTGAAAGACACCCCTGTTGCTTGGCGCACCCAACTGGGAGCACACCGTCACCTGCACCCCCTGCAGTCCCACTGGTTTGCCCATTATGCTGACAAGTAGCAGGGAGAGGGCTGAGGAGAGCCACTTAGTGGGTTGCAAGGGGAGCCAAAATGTGGAAGCAGCCATTCTGTATATGGCACACATGAATGTCAGAAAATTCATGAATCGTAATTACAGTAAATCTAGTAAATGTGTAACACAATTCACCCCAAAACAGCTTCATCAAACCTGTAAAATAAGTCAAATACACTTTTACTAAATAAAACATTTAATTAAATCCTATAGAGCTTCATATGAGTTCTTCAAGAAGAAAGGGCATTTTAAACAAAAACATGATTTCACCTGGTTACAAAGTCCAAACTATCTCGACCAACACATATCTGCCTCCCTCTCTGCACATGTGAGGTGTTGATGTGGGTATTTATAACAGGTGGGAAGCATTTTGAAAGGAAGTAAAACTGATGACTCAAGCAGCAGATAAAATAAAATGACTCCTCTCCAGAGTAATAGTGGAAAAACATTTGAATGCTAACAAGTAATTAGCATGCATGCAGTTGGCAGTGGTGGGTGTGTGTATGAGAGTACAGTATGGTTCCTGTACCCTGTATCCTGTACCCCCGGGGGGAGTCTTTTATATAAAATGAGGTAATTGTGAAGTGTTGGTGTAGTGAATGAGCACAACAAATGCTTACATTAATTCAATAGATTAAAAAAAAAAGAAATAAGGCGCTCTGACTGCACACAGAGGCACTTGTGGAAGCCCAATTTTTTCAAGATTGCTACTATTACTACAATTACTATTAAAATACTATTCCCCTGCTATTTGTAGGTTCAAAACAATATTTTAGAAATGCTCTATCATTTGCCAGCAATAAGTCGGACTCGTTCCCGGTGGGTGATGGGCTCCGCCAGGGCTGCCCTTTGTCTCCGGTTCTGTTCATAATTTTTATGGACAGGATTTCTAGGCGCAGCCAAGTGGCGGAGGGCTTTTGCTTTGGTGGCCTCAGAATCTCATCTCTGATTTTTGCGGATGATGTGGTTCTGTTGGCTTCATCGGGTGAGGGCCTCCAGCTCGCACTGGAACGGTTCGCAGCCGAGTGTGAAGCAGCGGGAATGAGGATCAGCACCTCCAAATCTGAGGCCATGGTTCTCAGCCGGAAAAGGGTGGAGTGCCCACTCCGGGTCGGGGATGAGTTCCTGCCCCAAGTGGAGGAGTTCAAGTATCTTGTTCGCGAGTGATGGGAGAAGGGAGCCGGAGATCGACAGACGGATTGGGGCTGCAGCTGCAGTAATGCAGACGCTGCACCGGTCCGTCGTGGTGAAGAGGGAGCTGAGTGTAAAAGCGAAGCTCTCAATTTACCGGTCGATCTACGTCCCTACCCTCACCTATGGCCACGAGCTGTGGGTAGTGACCGAAAGAACGAGATCGCGGATACAAGCGGCAGAAATGAGCTTCCTCCGAAGGGTGGCTGGCCTCTCCCTTAGAGATAGGGTGTGAAGTTCGGCCATCCGGGAGGGGCTCAGAGTAGAGCAGCTGCTGCTCCACATCGAAAGGAGCCAGCTGAGGTGGTTCGGGCATCTGACAAGGATGCCCCCTGGGCGCCTCCTGGGTGAGGTGTTCCAGGCATGTCCCACCGGGAGGAGGCCCCAGGGCAGACCCTGGGCTCTCGGCTGGCCTGGGAACGCCTTGGTGTTCCCCCGGATAAGCTGGAGGAGGTGGCTGGGGAGAGGGAGGTCTGGGCCTCTGCTTATAAGCTGCTGCCCCCGCGAACCGGCCTCGGATAAAGCGGATGAGGATGGATGGATGGATGCTCTATCATTTTTGCTTACAGGAATAGAAATGTATTTAGTGTACAAGACTTGTTCTACATCACATCTGATCTAATTAATTTTATCTTTTTTATCTGCAGTATCAGATGGCTCAAAAATAGTAGTGTTTGCAGAATACAAAATACTATAATAATACAATAATAATAATAATAATAATAATAATAATAATAATAATAATAATAATAATAATAATAATAATAATAAGAGCTCTTAAATACAAGGAATGAACATCTGCAAATTCTTGTGAAAACCTTTTTTCTCTGAAAGATTTCCAGTTATTTCTGGAATTCCAGTGCTACACCTTAACTTGTTTAAATGTTTTTTTTAATGTGTTCTAAAATTCTCAACATTACATTTATATAGATGATTCGAACTCAAGTGAAATTACAGTAAAGTGTAAAATAAGATGGGTGAATATGTTTTATATAATCTGTGGTCATTGTAGCGCAGGAGTTAGCCCAAAAAATATCTAGAAAACTATTTATCCTTCTTTGGATCGAGTTCCCAGCTGCCCTTCAAATCTTTCTTCCGGTGATTTTTCTAATTGAGTCTTGATTCTTTTTACTTTTTCTTTACTGTTTAATGTTTGTAGCTGGCAAAACCAGTTACTGACCAGAAGTCTGTAGACTATGTACATATACACTCACCAGCCACTTTCTTAGGTATGGCTGTTCAACTACTTGCTAATAAAAATATCCAACTAGCCAATCACATCTGAAGTTCAAAAAGTGATTTAAGAAACTTGCCATGGTTGTTAGCATTGGACAGGATGGTGTGAGTATTTCAGAAACTGCTGATCTACTAGAATCTGCACACAGTCATCTCTAGGGTTTACAAAGAATGATCTGAAAAAGAGAAACGATCCAGCAAGCAGCAGTTCCTTTGGGAAAAATGTAATTACAATATGTAAATAATGTTGTTCTGATGACTCGATTTCAGCTGCAGGAATAACAACTTGGCATAAATGACATGAAAGCATGGCTTCATTGTGCCTTCTGTCAGGTGTTCAGGCTGCTGCTGGTGGTTTAATGGTGTGGAGAATATTGTCCTAGCACACCTTTGGTCCCTTAGCACCAACTAAGCATCATTTAAATGCCACAGTTTACCTTTTATTGCTAACCATGTCCATCCTTTTATGACAGTGTATCCATCCTCTGAGGCTGTCCAACTTGGTGCTAGCAAGGTGTACCTAAAAAGTAGATTGTGTGTATTATGCTGACATAAGAAAAATAACAACATCTCATAGCCTTTCTAAAATCCATTAAATTAGCTTTATAATTAAGGCAATTTTCACTGTCTCTTGCTTTTAGGTGGCTTGTAAGTTTAATATTTAATTTGGAAAGCAAAGCTTACAGCCACTGTTATAGATGTTGTGATGTTTGGTATTGTGTGGATGAACTAAGGCGACTGAGATACTGAGCATTAGGGTAGAAAAGCAAAGTCTTGGCTCAGATCTTGTCTTAATGAGCCTAAAGTTGAATAAATCAAAAAAAAAACCATTCAAACTATGTAGCTGTATGCCTCTTTTCTCTCATATTTCCCTGAACGTTTGTACTGTGGGAGTTGTGTATCCAGAGCAACAGGTGTATCATTTGTCAGCTGTATTACACTTTCTATTACACTATTACATTTCATGAGCAATTACATCCCGTTACGTTTTAGGTGGCATATGGGGAAAGAAGAGGCTGTTTATGTCTTACAATGAATCGATTTTGAGCTTCAGCCGCATTCTTGATTGATTATCTGTTACTACACAGAAAAAAAACATGTCATTTGCTGAAACCAAATATCTCATAATTTTATTGCATTGATAAGAAAATGCTCATAGTTCTTCAGTGAGCAGCCATACAAAGAAAAAAGATGGTGCAACACTGAAACAAAAAAGAAAAAACCCACCAAAACTGCAGTCTTACTACGCTCCTCTCCTCTGCTTGGCCCAGTGTAGTTGTCACTCTGCCTTTTCAGTCCATTACGTATACAAAATAAAAATGAACAGAACTAAAAGATCATTTTTGCAGTCTGTATCAAAGCAATTATAAAAATAAAAACCTTTAAACTCATTTTTTTTCTTAATTTGCAATCACATTTTCAAATTCTACAAATCAAAAAGAGCAACAAGTCCAAGCAAAGAAGTCTATGTACTGTATTGCACCCAATACAAACCAGCCTATGCCCTCTGTTGTATCCAATACAACTGTTTGTTCTGTGCAAATAAGGTTGGTCAATGCAACACCTATTGTATAAACTGGTGCATAGTCATGCTTGACATGTTCACAAGTAACATGCACAAACATAAATGTACAGTTAGAACTGATTCTCAACTAAAACTCATCTGAGATGAAAAATCATGTCAGGAATATTTACACACAACACAAATAAAGAAATACCACCGGAAAGAGAAGGAAGACTTACATTTGATATGAAGATGAAATCCATCAATTCAAACTAGCTGTTTGATACTACTACACATTCAAATGATACACAGAAAGACATTCCCTCTCTGCTTAACAGCCAATACTTCTTTTTTTTTTTGCTTCATAGTCAGTGTACATATTTTGGACAGTACATCACTGGGACAAAGATAACAAGTATCTGTACAATCAGTCTAGGAAGCCGTTTGGAGGGACCCAAAGTTCCCAAGTACATTTACACATTAAGCATAATACAGACAATATATAGCCGACTAGAAAGACCATTCACTATTGAAATAGTGGACATTTCATACAGGCAATTCATGCTGTCAGATCCAACCATGGATTATATGAGATGCTTTACTTTTATCTTTTCTAAAAACAGCCCAGAATAAACATTTATTCAACTTGGGGTTAACAAACATGAGAACAAGCAAGTGCTTATTTCATTGATCCCCAGACTTTTGGTATAACAGAAGTTAATCAAGAATCACTGGCAGATTCTTAATTTCATGTAAAGTTATCAGAATTAGAGTCTGAGCAGAAAGTAGACCTCGGGCTCAGACACTGAGTGGCTTGTGTTTGCAGGTGGAAGAGAGTCATCAGTATAGTATCGATCTCCATAATGGTCACCATTTCCGTAACGTAACGATGTGCAAGCTCCTTCGGGAAGTCCCCTGTCTTCCAGCTGACCAAGATAACCTGCTATGTAAGAACCAGTAGAGTGTCTGTTCGTTGGAGGATTCTGTGAGGCTGGTTTATTCCTTAATACCACCCCACCAATGCCACCAGTGCTATTGATGACCACCCCTGAGCGAGGTTTTAGAGCTTCTTGCTGTCTTTCGCGAGCCCGGCTATTGATGTGACGTACACGGCTTTGACTACGGGAGGATAGGCGACGTGTTAGGGGTGGAGGGGAATCATCTATATCCCTGGACACAACAGGAGCTAAACTTGGTGCCTGTGGCTGTGACAGTGGGGATTTTTCTTGCAACTGAGGAGACTGGGGCCTATCGATGTCACTGTCATCCCCCTCCAAACTGACCAGCTTACGTAGCTGTTCGGTAAGAGGATCACAAGACTGTGACTGGAAAGTTACTCCCTCTATGGTGCCCGACTTCTTTTGCTTCCTCATATGGGGCGTGATGAAACTGCGACTAATAATGTGGTATTTGCTCTGAAAGTTGCATGATATGTCTTCAGAGGTTAAGTCTCCCAGGGATTTGGATTTGCATGGGTTGGGGGCTGTGGAGTCTATAGTATCAGACTGAGAAAGAGGTGATAAAGGCTTTAAACTAGACTGTCGTGTAGTTCTGGTTTCAGCCTGTGGCTGGTGCCTATAATTAATCTGAGAAACCTCGTGGTTCCATGACTGCTGTTGGTCAAATGATTGTGTTTGACTTTGGTTGTGTAGCTGACTGTTCTGTGGCGCCTTAGAGGACATAATGCAGTCATAGTCCAGATGGCTGTATACTGCTTCACAGTCTGAAGAGGGGGAATAAAGGCCTCTGTCTCTACAGCTGTTTACAGATGTAGCAGATTGATCATGGAGGCTTTCTGAAGAGGAAATACCATTTTGGTAACATCCTGCTTGCTCCCTCTCCAGCTGTTCATACCCCAGCTTGTCTTGATGAGACATGTTTAGGATACGATTCCCACTGTAGCTCCTCTGCTGGTAGGAAGTGCTGAAGTCTCTGGTGTAGTTAAGGGCCTCGGAATTTCTCTGAGGTATGGGGTAGCTGTTTTGACGCAGTGGACTGGGTTTAGAGGGTCTAGAGTTAAAAAGTCTATAGTGGAGGGAAGTCTGGGAGCTGTCATGATGTTCATCGTGACTGAACTGCTGATAAGAATGTTGATTCATGAGGGAATGATGCTGTGAAAATGCAACGTGAGAGGAACGTGATGAGTACTGCTGTTGGGAATCATAATATGAAGAAGGCTGTTTTTGTAGGAAGCAGCTGGGAGTGGACTCATGGTTTTCATATATAGCCTGGCGTTTGATAGGACTCATAAGCCCAAACTCATAATGTCTTGGGGAAGTCAGCATCATCTCCAGTGGATCCTCATCAACATTTAACTCCACTTCTGTAAAAACTTTTCCAGATGAATCGCAGGGAATCTGGAAACTGTGACCGTTTACAGAAGAGCCTATGTACCTTTTAGAAGTATTTTGTTCTGTTTCATTCATTGGTCCTGGGGGATCAGTCACCTCTTCATACACCCTCTCCTCTATCTCATCATCTCTTTTTCTTTCCACACAATCCCAGCCTATATTATGACTGTTCCTCAGTCCCTGAACCACCTTTGCTGGAGATGACCCCAAACTGCTTGAGGGTGTGCTCTTTAAAGTGTCTGCCTGAACATGGACTGCCTGTTTCTTCAGGTTGTACACTGATACTGGTGACAAAACCTCCTCATCTAGAATGGTATAGACCTCCTCAAGCTCAGTGGTTTCTGGGCTGGAGATGGGGGCTGGTGCACGTTGGATACTTTTGTGAGGTGAACAGATTTCCTGATTTACATTATTTGCTTTTTGAACTGCCTTCTGGGGACTTGTGGGATTTTTCTTGTAGGGGGAATCTGCACTGGTTTTCAGAGGAGATCTGAACTCTTCTAGTGTTTTAGGGGTAGTAGGCCTCAAGTTTGAATGATGGGATGGGATCATATCATGAGATGTGAAACTGTTTTGGTCAACAGTGCTTTCAAATTGACCAATAAGAGCTGAAACAGAGCCACATGTGTCTTCCTCATTGCTTAAGGATACAGCATCAATAATTCTGGAAATTGTGCTGTCATGCATAGAGCTGGGGCTCTTTAAATCACAGTACCTGTTGACAGGGGGAAGGGGGGCCACAGATGAGGGGACAGGGGAGGAGGATGAAAACACTGAAGATGCAACTGTGAATGTTGTGCTGCTTAATGATGTTTCTGGTTTATCCAGTTGCATTTGGCTATTCATTGCAGGCAGTATAAGAGAGTTTTTCTCTGTTCTTGTGGAGATGATCTTGGATTTGTTGACTTCTGGTTGGTAATTCGCATAGTCTTCTTCCTTCCCCACTTCTCCAACACCAACAACCAGATAAGAAGTCTCTGACTGGTGAAATTCTTTGTTTCTGTATGTCTTAGAGGGAGAAGGGGTGTTTGATTCTGTGGCAAGTGATGATTCAATGAGTAGGTCAACAGATGAAGACCTGGGCCTGTCAAAAAGGCAGGATCCTGTGGACACAGATAAATGAAATACGGGATTAATAAAAAGATGCTTATATACAATAACTGATTTTGAATACCAAGCAGACCAACACTGACAACAAATAACAATCCAGCCAATACAAGGCAACAGCAAAACACAGACAAATGGATCACCAAGTACAACTGTGAAAGGAGAAGATGGTGGAGGTTTTAAATAAAGAAAGAATCCATGTTTGCAAAGATCAGATCAGGACGGAGATGGTCAAATGGGATAACATGGCACAGTAATATATTTCTCAGACCACTTTCCAACAAAATACACTGGGTGGACGCAATACTGGTATGTTTTTGAACGATGCAACCTTCAGACAATAGGTATTTTAGATTACCTGTAGGCATATCCTAGTCAGTTCTCTACTATAAGGAAACACACAAATGAAGATGGGACAGAAAAGGCACGTTAAGGTATTATGAAGAATAGGCTGTAGTCTGTCAGTTCACATGGTTACTGTACATGAGTTTTGTAGCATGAAGTAAAGCAAGGGAGAGAAATCAGAAAATATTTTACATTTATTAATCTGCAAAGCAAATCAAGGCAACTCCATGTAACATTCACAAAAATATTACAGTTTAAAAATATGCTGTAGTTTAAAAACAAGGCATTAAAAAATTAAATGTTTCACATTTTGACTCTGCTGTTATTGCCACAGATTGCTGTGGCCTGATATGTGTTAGTATCCGATATTAGATCATGAATCTTACAAATATATTTAATTCAGTTAAATTTTAATTAAATAGTGCCAAGTCACAAAAACAGTCTTTTCAAGGGTCTTCATATGATGGTATTTAAACTAGAATGGTTCAATTTTCTCAGTAATTTATATAATTTCTGTATTTATTTCCATCTTTGACTGCAGGATGAATGGAAAATACCCACCAATAATAGTGTCTGCACCTATGTCATGCTGTTCTTTGTCTGGGGAGCAGATGGAAAGCTGCCCTTGCAGAAGTCTGTCTAAGGGCATGGAGATCGGCCTGTGAATAAGTGGGGCTCGAGGCTGGAGACGTCTCTCCATCCCTCCTTCCTTCCCAGACACACCCTCTCCTCCTGCAGCAGCTGCACCTGTGCCATTCTTATGGTCTGATATTGAAGCCACTGACTCTGACAGCATCATCTTTGTCTTCTTCCGTCCCTTTGCCGGGGCACTTGCCGTGCGTCGCAGGAGGTGATCACTGATGGAGCGTTTTCGAGGACCACTGGAATTTGTATCAACGGAGGACTTGGAAGAACGGTTAAAGAAACCTCGGATACCTCGTAGCTGATTACTCTGAGGAAAAGAGCCAAACAAGAAGAAAAATGTATAAGTAATGCCTGATCAACCAGTGTGTCGATCTAAAATAATCTAAATTCATTACAACATTTCAGTTTGAAGCTAAAATGTTGATGTGGAATTTTATATAAACGATGAGAGGTTTGGCATGTACTGGATATGACCAGTTAACAACTACCTGCTTTCATGAACATTGTCTATAGATGGCACCCTTACTCCTTAGTCACCACAGCAAACAAAATGCAAAAAGCTGTTGTTTGGTTGTGCACACATGCTTACATTAAAAATAATTACATGTACTCTCATAATAAGACAACAACAGGTAAAAAAAAAAAAAAATCTGAATGAAAGCTTAATTTGTAAGTAAACTGCATGACTCAGTCAATTGTAATGTCACACACAAAAAGTCACTGAAGATAAGCCAGACTGCACATTTGCATCATGCATTGCTTTTTCATGCAGCAGCACACAGACCCTAGTAAAGGGGTATACCTTATTAGATCCTAGAAAGTGCATTATGGTAAAGCTGGGGTTCAGCACTAGAGGGCTCCACTAGAAAGACAAAGTATTGAGCATAGCTTAAATGGACTGGTGTGTTGAGAAAAAAGCAATTTTCTGTTTACCTGTTAAAAAAAATGTGTCACTTGATGAAAAAGGCTAACAAGGGGATTCCCCAGGCGTATAGGGCACTTACCTTCCCATAGACATCATGCACTGACACGTGCACAAAAATGGAAGCTTCAGTTAGCCCTTCCAAGTAAACGTGTCTGTAACCTGTGGTTAGAGATGAAGAGAGAAAGCATGTGAGCTAAACAGTGTGTTTAACACAGATAACAGATGTTATCAAATGATGCAGGGTGATCTTCAGGATTTCAAAAGAAATTCAAATGGATCCAAATTTAGAAAAGAAAAGGAAAGGAAAGATAAAAAAGAAAAGAAAAGAGTAAAAAGATAACCTGACAAATAACTTTTTTTCACTATATAGTTACATGAAATCATGGTTTACCTAATACAACCAGGAGATGATATATCCCTTAGCAATAGCACCATCTAATCCACAAAGGGAAAATTATCCTAGTACTATATTGATTCTAGCCATGAGTAACAACCTTGTCCCCTCTTATGTTTATGTCATTCATGCACAGTAAGTACAATATGTAAAACAAAGTCTTCACAAACCAGGCATCAGGCTGGTGAAAGCAACAGTCCGTTGACCAATAAAGTCCCTTCCAATCGGGTCATGGTCCCAGACAAGGAAACGCACCAATGCCACCTCAGCCATGTGAAGTGTAAAGGTCAGAGTCTCCTCCCATACTGGGTTAAAACCTGAAGAAAGAACATATATATATACATATATATATATTTATATATATGTGTGTGTGTGTGTGTGTGTTTGTGTGTGTTTATATGTGTGTGTGTATATATATATATATATATATATACAGTAAGCTTAATTTTATTATTATTATCCATTTCATTAGTATGCCGTTAAAGCACACACCCACACACTGCAAGACTTCCATCGATAAAAGGTAGGATCTCACACTGATCATATAATACTGTTGAGCTCCCGGGCTTCATAATCTTTCCCAGAGGAGGCATTCTCCCTGCCCCTGCAGAGTGCTCTCATCTGTGGGTTCACGTTTGGGGTGACACCCGAAGATCACGCCTTTTTGCTTCCATTGTTTCATTAATTAATTCATCTGATTTTTTATCCGGGCTGTGCTTCACAGCCCAGAGTAAAATGCAATATCTGTGGCATTGTTTCATTGGTTTGCTCTGTTTTTTACAACAATGCCATTACCAGAATATGATAGAGGTGAAAAGACCTGTGACTTTATCTGCTTTTTTTGCATGCCATACTTGCATTTTGTTCTATAGTATGAACACTGTAAAACACAAAATATAAGCAAACAAAACTCACACATACACAAATATTCCACATTCATCGTTTTTACACAAAAGCATGTAAAACAGTTATGAGAAAATATTATATTACATAATTTATACTCGTTGTATATAGTTCAGGTTAGGTCAGTGTAGAAATGTGCAATTTTTGGTCTGTGTGTGTGTCTAACCATTGTCATCAACAACTCGGGTCTGTTCCTTGCAGCAGTCAACTGGCAAACCGATTATTTCCACTTCAACAAAAGGATCAATAATCTGATGGAGGAGAAAAAGCAATGAAATGAATTGTATTTCATTTTATGACCCTGGCTATATTAAGAAAGAGAGCAACTGGAAGATCTCTAAACAGTCAAATAATTGTTCAAATGTGTGCAATAGCGTGTAAGAACAAGAGAGAGACAGAGAGGGAGAGAAGAGATGACAGATGGAGAATGTGGAAACAGGGCATGTGTTTTGGTATGTTTTTACCTCTCCACGGTCCCCCAGCATGGAATCTGGCGGTTTGGGCAACTGCTGTCCGCTAATGATCTTGAGAATGAGCTGCTTCTTGGGATAAGCTGGAAGGGGATCATCACAGAATGGGTTGAAGGTGCCTAGAGGGAATAACAGACAGCAGCGCACCAACTTTGATTAATTCCAGCAGTAAATACAAAAAAAAAAAATCCATGACTTGCTTTCATGCTGCACACATTTAGTAAACCGTAAAGAAATTGTACAGACTAGAACTGCAAACTACATCTGAAGCAAGCCTGCTAAAAAATTCATCAGTGCCTCTCTCGTGTCATGCAGCTAACTCCCAGTTGGATAGATAATTATAAAGCAAACAACGCTGTACTGTAAAATGAAATCTCTCTAATGACCTGAGGTGGGTGAAGAGAAGGATATCTCAAACTTACAGCATGTTAAAAACACAGCAGAGTTCCCAAACATTATGCTGAATTATGTAACATGATCAGAAAGTTCTTCCTCTGATTGCTCTAGCAAAACATGCACTGAAACTATAATTTTAATTAATATCTCTTACAGTTAAATTCTTATTATGCTTTCTTCAATGAACACTGACTTAACATGTTCCAGCATGTTTCCATTCCAACTATAATGTACAATGTAATGTATAATGTACTATAATCCTGGGACTTGGAGAAACAAGAAAAACAAATAGGTACTGATTTAATTATCAGTTAATGCTATTCACAAATAATCTTTTATAAATGCTGACCTATTTGTGAGTTTGCAGTGAGTTTGTTGCTGTACCTTTACACATTGGAGGAGGCTTGAGGACATATCCAATACCTCCATTCACCATAAACTTGGCTCTGTTCAGCTGCATCATCCTCCCCTCTGTCTGATAGTTGAGTGCAACTAAAAGAAATAATAATAATAATAGTTATTATTATTATTATTATTATTATTATTATTATTATTATTAATCTAATAAACATATCATGTTAATTAATTTTCATCTTTAGCATTTTTTTTTATTATTATTTAATGCTCCAGTGGGTTCTTAGTTAGTTAGTTAGTTTATTCTTGATCATTATCTGTAATATGAATTCTTGGTTTCAGTGGGGATTAATTTTGTGTAGGCTTTTTTATGTTTGGCCTTCCCTTCTGTGTCACTGTCACTGTTTTTTTGGGTTTTTTTTCTTTTTTTGGGGGGGGGGGGTTATTTCCTGCTTTATTTTGGTAGCCTTGGTCTTGTGCAGTGTTGGTCAAGTTACTTGAAAAAAGTAATCAGCAACTAATTACTGATTCCTTCCCCCAAAAAGTAATCCCATTACTTTACTGATTACTTATTTTCAAAAGTAATTAATTACTTAGTTACTTAGTTACTTTTTAAAAACACGATTTACAACCTGAATAGGTGATAAAGCGATAGATCTTTCAGCCCAATTCTACTTTTTCTGCATAATCCATCATACAAAATGTAATCAAATGGAAAAGTCTCTTTTAACTTGTTTTATCAGTTTTAATCTTTTAACTTTATGCATCAAGCAAAAATTAATTATATGCAACATTCTCTGACTTGAAAAATTAGTTTAACATTTAAACCTATTTTCTGCACATTCCAGCACATAAAATAAAATATTTTTTGTGTTTACACTCACTCTTTCAAATAGATGCAAGTAAAACACAGCAGAAAATAAATAAAGTCAAAGACTAGCGGTCCTGTTGCTCTATTTTCACCTGTAAAGCAGGAGTGGGTAGGCGGAGGTTTACCCTGGTGCAGGTGTGCCGCAGCGGTCAGTGGAAGAATCCGCGAGTTTCTCTGTGAATTTCCCATTACGTCGTTGCGCACTCGGTGCTTGTTTAGGGGTTTTTTTCGCTGTAAAAAGAAGTTTTCTTCCCACGCACAACGGACGCTAATGTTTTTGTCACTTTTTATGGAATCAAACTCAAAGTAAGGTCAGTACTTCCACGCTTTAAACGCTGCACGCTCATACTCTCTCCGCACTCGATATATGATCCATTGTTGATCTGCACACAGCTGTTGTCACAACGCGCACTCGCTTACGTCACTGTCATGAGACATTCTCGCAAAAAAATCACGGTTTTAGTAACGCAGTAACGCAGCGTTCCTACGGGAAAGTAACGGTAATCTATTTACCGTTTTTGCAATAGTAATCCCTTACTTTACTCGTTACTTGAAAAAAGTAATCAGATTACAGTAACGCGTTACTGCCCATCTCTGGTCTTGTGTGCCTAGTATTTAGTTTTACATTCCCTCTCTTGCTATCATGGATATGTTTCAGTCACCCTCCTGTGTCCAACCTCGCTTGATTACCTCATGTGTGTATTGAAGCCTCAGTTTGCCTTAGGTCTTTGACATGTCTGTTTGTCCTGTTTATCCGCCTGAGTAGTTTCCCTGGTTGGATTTTGGGATTCTGTTTTCATATGCCATTTGCTCTGTTGGCTTCCCCTAATGAATGTTGCCTTTTGCTCACTAACCCGATCTGCAAGTCTGCATTTTTAAGTCCACATTATGCACTAATAATGTCAAAACATGAATACAGATAAACTGCAATAATTTCCCAGTACAGTAAGTCTAGCCTTATATTTAGTTGAAAATAGTACAAAAATAACACATCAAATATATATATCGATCTACATATAGATAGAAAGATATCTATCTATCTATATATATATATATGACTTCAAAGGTTGATGAAGATGTTTCAAAGATGTATGGCCAGGGTCACAAATGACTGACTACGCTGTTTAATCTAAAATAAAATAAAATTAAATATAATTAAATAAATAAATAAATAATAAACTGTTTTGAGTTGCTATTTCAACTCAAAACAGTTGAAATAGCAACATAACAACTCATAAAGAGAGTGTCCCAGAGATGGTGACAAACGCAAAGATGGGGTTCTGAAAGCCTGCATAGACAAATAGTTTAACAGTTTAAGAAAAACTCCTTTAAAAAAGCGAAATTGCAGAGTATATTGGAATTCTGTCTTCTATGGTAGTATATGATACTATAGAAATTTAAAATAATTACAGGAACAGTTCTTTAGATGGAACTGTTTTTGTTTTGCTTGAAAGAAATTAACTGTTTTAGATCAAGAAAGATTCCTATCTCTTCACAAATAACTACATTTCAAATTATATCAAGTGAAGGCCACCGATAAGCTGATTTGTATGTGTTCATGCATTTTTTAAGCAGTGTTAATGTATGACAGATAAATAGACTATTTCTTGCTTTCCTTCTTTACTTGAGTACTCGAAACACTCTATACAACATGTATGATTCACCCATGTGTCCTTTTTGTCTATACTTTTCCTTCCTAAGTGCTTTTATCTAACATTCACACTCCAATGCATGCATCAGAGAGCAACTTGGGGTTCAGTGTCTTGCCCAAGGATACTTAGGTTCTAGCATGCAGATTAAAACAGCCAAGAATCAACAAAACACCCTTCCAGTCAGTATGTTGAACTAGGAGTATGGCATTTTTTAAACAGCTGTGTTTTCTAAAGCTCTCAGAGTTTTCTAGAACCTAATAAGATCTCTAATTTGTCATCTTACCCAACTGACAACCCACATTCCAGTAGAACTGAGGGTTGAAATTGGAAGAGTCGATGCGATATGCCGAGGGATAAATTCGAGACAGCTGCCTCTGGTTAAAAGCCAGAAACTCTTCTGTTCTGTGATTCACCAGCGACTGTGCTCTGGTCTCACTGAAAGACAGAACGTCACCTGCAGTACCTGAAGAAAAACGAGGAGTTGTTATAAGAAGTTGCCCTTAATATGAAGATTGCATTTTGCTTGTGTGTGCATATGTCATAGCTCTGGTGTTTCACCTTCATTAAGACACTCCTGTGAGGCAACAGAGTTGGTGAACACCACAAGATTTGACAGATCCCTGCTCAGTTTCATCGTCTTCCTCTTTCTTAAACACCTGAAACAGTCAGATTGACGATTTTAAAAAGAGGACAGAGATGACAAAGTGAGATCATCGAGGCAGATGGAATAAAAAGGATAGTTAAGACTTGAACATTCATCCATCCATTAAAGTATTTATATGAGAAAAGCATTGCAGGATAGAAGATTGTCCACTGGAGGCAACTTGGAAACCACAGGAAAAGAGCATCAAAGGCAAAAAACTTAATAGGGACCAGAGGATATGCCGTGCAGAAGACTCACTCAGATTCCCACATACAAACAACTACACTGTCATGCACTCGCAGTCTTAAAAAAAAGTCAGCCACTCAGACACATGCTTGCGGGAATCTGTATTGTGACAGTTCCCTGGGACATGCCTATATGAATATGCAACAGAGACTGGAAGAACAAAGAGAGACAAAGGTCTTAGTTGCAGACAGCCGCTGAACAAGGAAAACAAAGCTGGATTTCCACATTTTTTTTGCCAGTGTTGACTCAAATAGAAATGGTGGGAAAACAAGACCAACATGGACATAAAACTGAAAAAGAAGTGGACTATATTCAAACTGAGGATGAAAATGGAAATACTACAATTTACTTTGGTATGATTCCTTTCAGATTCTAAATAAAATACAGACCAAATTAGTGGCAACAATAACACTGAATTATGTCATTTTAACACCCCTTCCTCTGTTATTTTTAGTACATAATGAGTTGAGAGGATAGATGGGGGACTGCAGAAATGAAAGTAAAACATTAGAATCCTGCATTATTTATTTATCAATAATGATATAGCAGTAATAATTACCACTTATTACTGCAGATGAAAACAAGAATTGTAAGACCACTCATTAGTGACAGGTAACATGGTGTGAAAAATGTGCAAAATATTGATATGATATAAGTGAAGGCAAAAAACCTAGCAATACTGGAATTAGAGAAAGGTCAGGAAAAGTATTTTGAATATTTTGAGTTTTACTTCTGACAAATAATGTGGCATCAACAATTTTGCCAAATAAATGATCAACGTTTCTAATTATGGTTTTGAATAAAATATCCATCTTTGACTACAAGTTAATAAGCATATGAGCTGTGGGATGGTTTATTATTATTATTATTATTATTATTATTATTATTATTATTATTATTATTGTTGTTGTTGTTGTTGTTGTTGTTGTTGTTGTTGTTATTGTTATTGTTATTATTATTATGTGATGCATTCTGTTATGGCGCCAGTTT